ACTGACATTCCTCCTTGAGTGGGTATAAACCAGCATAGCTCCATTGCTGAGACAATTGTTCTCTTGTCCTCAGTTAGGCCAAGATATACACTGGTTGAGGATCTTGCTCCTCTCCATTGTGCTTAAAAGGCTTTGTTTTGAGCAAGAAGTGCAATGTGAGAAGTCCAGGTCTTAAAAGCATCAAGGTGTTTAAACTTGTGCTGTGAGGGAAGTTTCAGAGCTTGACCAGTGCAAGACTAAACTGTTTATCTTCTCCACTGCTGCTTTTTTCCAGGATAGGATTCCATTTTAATCAGTATAATTTTTTTTAAAGCAATATGGCCAGTAAATGGGTATTTAAATGGTAACATTCCCTGCATATGTTCTGCCTTTTTATAACAGCTGAGTGCATTTTGGTTCATTTTACTGATTTTTATAGTGAATTTAGCTCTGGTGAAATATGTGTCTGAATACTTGAGGAACTTTAGTGTCTGGTTGCCTTTTTTCTGCATGAAACTAAATGGGATTAGGAGGCCAAGCTTCCTTAGGTGGGTGTTTTGTGTGTATGTGTGTGATTTTTTTTCACTGTGGTGGTGGCTCTATTAGTGGAATTGAGCAGTGATATTTATTTCAGCAGAGCAGGGTATGTGCCAGAGTAGCTGGATAAAGTCTTCATGGTTTGGCCAATCTTTGTTCTTTCCTCTGTCAGTTACTGTGAATTGAGGCACTGATAGTTTGCAAAAAGAACAGTTCTTGTCTGGGATCTGACCCAAGTCCCAACCATTTATTTCAGTAACACTGTCAGCCATCAGATGGGAATGTGACCTAAGCTGCATTTGAAGGCCCAGCAAAGTTGTGAGTAACTAGGATCTTCACATTCTCCTAAACAGGCACTGAAATCCAACACCCTGACCAGTCAATAAACTATATAGGTTTATTTTGCTTGTCCAGAAGCAGGACTTTGCATTTTGAGGGCTTTGCTGTGTGAATAATTCCTGTGGTTACTCCTCTGTTTGCTTCTAGGTGTCTGCAACGAGCAGCAAACCACCAGCAAAGGGCAACATAATGAACAACTTCTTTGGAAAAGCTGCCATGAGTAAGTGCTCTAGAACATGCATCTGTTTGCAGAAACTGGAGTGTGAAAACAAAAATTCCTCAGGGATATTAGAAATAGGGTTTTCTTCTTAAAGCTGAGTAGCAATTAAAAGATAACAAGTGTGTGAGCAGCAGGTCAGGGAGGGGATCCTGCCCCTCTGCTCTGCTCTCATGACCTCGCTTGCAGCACTGGGTGCAGTTCTGGTGTCCCCAACATCAGAAAGACATGGAGCTGTTGGAGCAAGTCCAGAGGAGGCCACGAGGATGATCAGGGGCTGGAGCAGCTCCCGTATGGAGCCAGGCTGAGAACATTGGGGCTGTTGAGCCTGGAGAAGAGAAGCTGCTGGAGACCTCAGAGCAGCTTCAGTGTCTGAAGGGGGCTACAAGGATGCTGGGGAGGGACCTTCATCAGGGACTGGAGTGACAGGACAAGGGGTGATGGGTTCAAATTGAAACAGGGGAAGTTCAGGTTGGATGTAAGGCAGAAGCTCTTCCCTGTGAGGGTGCTGAGGCGCTGGCACAGGGTGCCCAGAGAAGCTGTGGCTGCCCCATCCCTGGCAGTGTTCAAGGCCAGGTTGGACAGAGCCTTGAGTGACATGGTCTAGTGTGAGTTTTCTCTGCCCATGGCAGGGGGTTGGAACTGGATGATCTTAAGGTCCTTTCCAACCCAAACCAGTCTGGGATTCTATGATAGCAGGTGTGTTGTTACACAGCCATGATAGGGAGCATAAACAGAAAGGAGCACAACTCTTCCTTCCCACCCCTGCCCAGCCAAACTTGTTGGGTTTTCTTCATAGTCCCTCTTTTCCTACAGTTTTCCATACTATTCTTCTGCTCTTTAGGACTCAGAGGGGTTAATGCTTTTGCCTGCAGCTCTTAAGGCAAAAATTAAGTCTTAAGTGGAATTTTTCAAACAAAAAGCTTGCTGGATGGAGATCAGTAGAAATGACATATTCGTGCAGCCTAACCCAGGAAGGCTTTTTCTGTGTGTGTGTGCAGAAGAAATCTGATTTAAAGTGAGTACTTCTGGCTGGAAGATTAGCTCTTGGCCCGGGGTTTGCCAAGACCTGTTATGCAGGGCGTGTTAATGACGCTTGCTTTTCATCACAGACCACTGAGGAGTCTAGAGTTAGATGGAGGGTTAACTTCTTAACTCAAAACTGAGGGTAAAACTGAAGAGTGGCCTTCCCTTTGAGCAGGGGTTCAGACTAGGTGGCCTTTGGAGCTACTTTCTGACTTAAATGATCCAAGTCTAAAGCAAATACACTCTTAAATAGACATTGGAAAAGGATGGTAGGACTTTGAAGAAAGATGCCCTTATAAATAGTACAAAAGGATTCAAAGAAGAGTTACTGGGAGGGAGTAAACAACCAAGTTCACTTTCTAACAGCCATCTGTCAGAGGCTGCAGGCTACAGTTCCAGCACTGAACACACAAGGCACAGCACTGTTGGGCATCACTGAGTTCCTGCTTCAGTGAGGCTGAGGGAGCTGAGGACACAGTTACTACAATGAACTCAAGTAAATTTTTAAGGTCTAAGAAGAGCCCCAGACCAGAGTTCAGATGCTGGAAACCCAGCAAACTGCGTGGTAAAGAGGACCCAGTGGTGATGGAGAAAGCTTTGTGGATACATTCCCAGTGTATCCCCGTGATTTCCAATGGGGTTCGCTTGGTGGTGTCCTGTCAGGGAACACTTCAAGGACGCTTGAGGTGGCTGCAGGGAAGGACTAAACAGAATAGAACTGGAAAATCTGATGTGTTTAGGAGAGGGTGATTCCAGGAGTAAGATTTATTCCCTATGTGTTATATGTCTCTCCTGGCATCAAAGATTTCCCCCTTGCCAGAAAGTCTTGAGATAACAGTAACTGGGTCCTTCAGCTTTCTGCTGTTGATCATAAATAAGAGAGCTGTCAGTCAAGCTCTGCTCCATGAGATATTTTCCCTTGCTCAATGAAGCAGCCAGCCCATTTTCCAAGCAGTATCAGAAAGGTGTTGGCATGAAGTCTCAGCCCTCTCAGCAGCCTTTGTTCCTACTAAAAATGTGGTTGATCTCATTGTTGAGTACTTTTTCTTTGCCTGGGCATCTTGTGCTTGGGGTGCTACAGGTTTCTAAAGTGCCTGTTCTTCATTTCTGGTGGGGTAGAGCTGCTGAGTGAAGCTTACAGACTGCCATCAGGTGCTAGTGTGCTGCAGCACCACCTAGCAGGTTGATAAATATAGTATTTTGCTGTCTACTCCCCCTACTATCTCTTCTCTGGCACTAGATTAAGCCTTTTGAAGCAGAATTGTCCTTGTTTGTGGTGCCGTGTAGGCAGGAGAGGCTGGGGTAGTGTAGAACAAGAAGCCACTACATTTACTGACAATACGAATCATGGGATGGAGACTGCACGCACCTCTTGTTCTTCATCAGTCCTCATTCTCCTGTTTCCAGGCACTTTTGTGCTTGACTGAAACTCTAATCTAGCAGGGAGCATCTCATTATTGGGAGCCATCTCATCGGTTGCTCCCTTCTAAACCCTGGGTGTGGTGTTATGCCAAAGGGAATGTCTAGAAGAAGGGCTCCCAACCTTCCTGCGGTGCCTCAGGTCCTGGTGACTGTCAAGGCTTCTGCCTCTTAGACCTCTTGTGCAGAGTTTAACTGCTGTGGCACACTTGGTTTGCTTAGGTTGTGCTGTCAGGAACAGCAGAACCAAACTGGTAAATGGTTTTGTTTAGCTAGTCCTTTATATGTTGTCAGTCAAACTGAATGCTCAGTAGTTGTTCTCTTTGTAACGCTTTGTCCACAGATAAACTCAAAGTCAATTCTGTGCCTGAGCAGCCAAAGGAGGAGAAGGAAGTTGTCAAGCCTTCAGTTCCTGTAGCAGAACCAGAGTCATCCCTTAATACTGTTGTAGAGAAACCTGGGAAGAAAACAGAACCTGCTAGAATTCAACAGAAGGACAAAAAAAGGTGGGTGACACCATTCAGGGTCCCTGTAATCTGTTAACCCACTTGTTGATGGCCTGCATGGAGCTGGCTGCTCGGACAGTGCTGGTTCTCCTCCTGTTTCCAGCTTCTGAATTGCATTAAACCAGGCTAAAATTGTCTCCCTTAGAATTCTCTCCTAATATTTCTTTCCCATTTAGTGCTGTAGGTGCCTTGGGGCCATTTGTGCCATTGGATATGGAAGGGACATGGTCCAGGTAGTCTTCAGTGGTGGCTTTCCATGAGGCAACCTCACGCTGTGAGGAGAGTTAACACAGACCCTGCAGGCAATCTGGGGGGGCTGGCAGGAGCACCTGTATTGCAGGGAAGGTAGTATATTCCCAAACTTATATGTACACAGCTTCCAGCACACAAAGTTCTGCTTGTTGATTTCCATAGCTCATGTAGTGCTGCTTTCAATGTCGCTGGTTTACTTTGGGCTGAGGCTCCAAGTCAATTTGAAGTTGAGCCCTTTGTGTTTCATCCAACCCAAACTGACAGAGACAAAAAATCATTACAGGCTGATGGCTCTCTGGTGGCCTGTGAGTAATTAATTGGTGGTCTCAATCTGTTTCTAACTAAATAGGTAAGCACACCACCACCCAGCCCACCATCACAGCTAGTGCTCACTGGCCTTCTTATTGCTAGTCTTAGTCAAGAAGCCAAGGGCCTGGAAGCTGTGTGTTGGCAGTGGGATGTTGGGAAGGCCACTTGGGCTGTCCCAGCTCTAGGAGGCTACGTGGGCCTTTAGCCTCCAGGCTTGTTAGTCTGACATGTCTTGCCAACATTCAAAAGAAAGAAGCTCTTTTATTTTTCCAGTAGTCTTTAAAAATGGCTCCAGGATTCTGAGACACTACCTCATAGTCAGTCAGTGGCAAGCAGGCTGTCAAAAGAGCTTCTGAGGGATGCTGTTGGGGACATTAGTGTTTGGGAGCCTGAGCTATAAGAGACAAGATCAGAAATGCTCTTTTGCCAGGGTGCTGTGGCCAAGCTAGGTGAGGTACTGGGCAAAACATGGGGCTAAAGAAATCCTCCTTGTTTTGGAGAACTGGACATGGGTATGGGTGAGAGGCTTCAAAATGCCTCGCCTCTGCACCTATGCCTGATGGTATAGGTGAGTATTCTTCAGTGTATGTGATGGTTTTAAGAGGTAGAGAGGTACTTGATTTCCTTGCTAGCAGTACTTCTGTCATGAACATGCTCATCTAAACACACATGATGCTTTCATGCACACACAAGGGATAATACATATTCATTGCTCTTTTTCCTTTCTTCTTATGGCAGTAAAATGAAGAGGATGGACAAGTCAGATAATGAGGAAGAAAGAGAACCTGAAAATGTAAAGAAGAAAAGGAAGCGAATCAAACAGCTTGAGTCTGACAGCAGTGATGAGGAAGGTAAAAAAGATACAGAAACAATCAGGCGTGGAGGTCAGGGGGCTGATTTTAACAATGTTTCTATCTGAGGCTGTTGATCAATGATGGGGGACTTGTAGTTTAGAGGACTGAAGGATTTACTCTTAGACTCTAAGTCTTTAGGACTTAGAGGATTGTAGTTTCGAGGACTAAAGACCATGCAAATGGCTGCAGCTTGAGCTCTCTGTTTATCTTGTGCTGCAAGCACTTGGGCATAGAGTTGAGTTGCTGCAGTCATTCAGTCTTTGTTTTAGCTTAGCTCAGATCTGGCTGTCTCCTCACCAAGTGTGCTGCCAGTCACGCTGACGTGTGGGAAGGAGATTCTCAAATCTCTTGTGAAAGACAGCGCGCCTTCCAGAGCTGTAGGACTGGTCATAACCAGTTTATCTGGTGAGTAAACACTCACAAAGTGACCTCCCCCCTTCCCAGGGTCATTTTTAGTATCTTTATTCTGTCTGTTTATAGAAATGGTTTGGAAGAGAGCATTGGAAGTGAGACTTCCAAAAAGACAGATAATAGAGAAACTGGAGGCAAAGCAGTTGAGCCATATCCGATGCGACTCCGCGTCTCCTCGGTGGCTCTTGGCTTTGAGAGGAGGAGGGTGCCCAGAACATCGCAAGATTTGGGTTTATAATGAGGAACAGCAGGGCTGGATTCCAAAGAATTTGGATAATTGAGGTGACAAATGCCGTTCAATACAGATAACTGGAAAAGAAGTTGGGATCGAGCTGGGGAGTATGTGTGAAATGGAACAGTCATCCAGCAAACTGATCAGGAAAAGAATTTGGGGATCATTACAGGCAAATAATTGAAACCACCAGTTTGGTGTACAGCTTCCAGTCAAAAATAGGTGCAACATGAAATAGGTTGTGTTAGTGAGGAGGTAACTCCAGCTGGAGCTGTTTGCTTGTTCAGTGTGGCTAGCAGATGAGAAACAACCATGGAATGAAGAGAATCTGCAATACGAATCAGAGAGGTGAATACTGTTGGATGTGTTAGCAGTCTCCATGCCACCTTAGGCCTATTTTCATGGGTTCTCTGCTACCCAGCATCATTTCAAGTGATCTCTGTCATCAGGCATCCATCACTGCGCAGGCTATCCCACAGGATGATAAATCTCTCGGGAAGCTGTTCTTCATGATCAGCCTTAGTTTCATCACATTCCTGTGTGCAGCTCCTTGTTTGGCCATGAAAAAAATATATATGCCCACACTCTTTGGTATTTATTTCTTTTAATGTTTGTAAGTTATTATCCAGTCTTTCCATTTACTCATCACTCAGCCTCCTGACAAGCTGTGGTGTTTAGCTCTGAAGAGGGAAGATTGAAATCAGCGCCTTTGGCCACTCAAAGTACTGCTTCTTGCTGGGCTGGAATCTCTCAGCTCATCGGCTCCTCGCTAGCAGGAGTGGGCAGAAATGAGCTCTGTGTTGCAAGCGTGCAGGAGGGCTCTTTGAATCACAGAATCCCAGCCTGGTTTGGGTTGAAGGGCCCTTAAAGCTCCTCCAGTCCCAAGCCCCTGCCACGGGCAGGGACCCCTTCCACTAGAGCAGGTTGGCTCCAAGCCCCTGTGTCCAACCAAGCCCCCTTTGTCCACCCTGCCCTTAAACCCTGCCAGGGATGGGCCAGCCACAGCTTCTCTGGGCACCCTGTGCCAGCGCCTCAGCACCCTCACAGGGAAGAGCTGCTGCCTCAGAGCTCATCTCAATCTACCTAATCTAATATAATAATATCTGATTCTAATCTTGAAGCATTAAAGCTTAATGATTCAGTCTTCCCTTTGCTGCTGTGAGTTGGGGACCCCCAGGCTCCTGTGTTCATGGCAGTGCTCTGAGCATGCAGCAAGCCCAGAGGTCACCACACAGCCTGCTTCCCTTCTCTCTTTCTGTTAAAGCTCTTTTCATCTCCTGACACTAAGCAGTGCAGTAAGACTGTCATAAATTGAGGAGCACTTTCTATAGACTCATAGAACCCCAGGTTGGAAGGGACCTCAAGGACCATCTGGTCCAACCTATAGAGAGTACTGCAAACTCCTGCTTGCTGCATATCCACTTTGGGGTTTGAATATTAGAGCTCTCTGGTCTCTTGTTGAATATCTGTATTACCTTTAGCATGTGCTGAATAGTTAATGCCTTTGAATGTGGTGCCTTCTGCTTTCATTCATTCCAAGGTTTGCTCCAGAGTCTGTGTGTATACTCCTGCCTTGGTGCACACAGTAGGTGTGTTTGGTTGTTCTGTCTTGTTTCATTTGAGCTCTTAAGTGTGGGTTAACTGAGTTAGCAATTAGAAGCCATCAGTCTGGTCCTCTGGTCAGGTTGGGAGTCTTCTTGTCTTGCTAACCTCATTTGGAGGAGCTTTACACATTGAGAACAGGACACGTAAGGCCACTTACCCAGTCACTGTTAGGTTGGCTGTTAGTTTACTCCTGTTTAACCTGCTAGAGATGTAGGCAGAAAGTTTCACTTTCCATTTGGAGAACTTTCCTGTTGCTGCTGTTGCTCTTCCTGCATCGTAGTCCTCTTTGTTCTTTCCATGATGTGGAGCTTTGTGTTGTGTATTAGAATTGGAAATTTATGCAAATTATAGCATATATATACAAATCTGTGTATTATTGATTAGCTATTCCCTTTTAAAAGGGAAAGATGGGAATCCAGAGAGCTTCTCTGTTACTCCTTTTCAAGCTAATAGCTGTTTAAACCACCCTGATGAGGTCTGTGTTCAGCCCTTTGGTTCTGCTGCTTTCCCTTCCAAATCCAACTAGATGAACAGAGCTAGATTTGAGTTCTTTGACATACTCATACAGAATCCTAACTGATATTATTCCATGCAGTATTCACATATAAGGATGTGAGTTGGATTAAACAAATAACACTGTGTATATATAGCAGCTGGGCTTTGAGAGCAGTTACCCTTGGAAAGGTTGGAGCAGGTTTCTCCAGAGAGCAGGGTCGATTTTAATCAGCATCAGTGAGAAAAATGGGGCCTGGAGTGACATTGTTCCATGCTGCATCCCGGTGGGAGCAGGGAGGAAGGCACCATATGCTGCACAGCATTTGGGAATCGCTGCTGGACAGGCTATGGTGCATCCACCACCTGCATTAAAGCCCCCCCAGATGATCAAGGGGTAAGTTTTAAATATGCAAGATGCAATATGGGAAGCTGCACCCCCAGGGTGGGGATCAAAGGCCGAGAGTGTGGCTGCTGCTGCTGCTAACCTGGCTGACCTCCCCTGGAAGCAGAGGAGGGTGCAGGGCCTGAGGCAGCGGTGGAGCTGCAGATAGCAGAGGGTGCTTGTCCACAGCCACTGCTGGGACTGAACAGTGTTCAAACAGGGCTCTACCTGTGTATCTGCGTGTAAAACCAGTGCCCTTTTTCAGGCAGATTTAGCCCCATTTTGTGGGTTTGAAACAACTGATGATCAGATGCTGCGAGGGCTGGAGCAGCTCTGCTCTGGAGCCAGGCTGAGAGAGCTGGGCTGGGGCAGCTGGAGAAGAGAAGGCTCCTGAAGGGGACACCTTAGAGCAGCTCCAGGGCCTAAAGGGGCTCCAGGAGACCTGGAGAGGGGCTTTGGACAAGGGATGGAGGGACAGGACAAGGGGAATGGCTTGAACCTGCCAGAGGGGAGACTGAGATGAGCTCTGAGGCAGAAGCTCTTCCCTGGGAGGGTGCTGAGGTGCTGGCACAGGGTGCCCAGAGAAGCTGTGGCTGCCCCATCCCTGGCAGTGTTCAAGGCCAGGTTGGACACAGGGGCTTGGAGCAACCTGCTCTAGTGGAAGGTGTCCCTGCCCGGGGCAGGGGTTGGAGCTGGAGGAGCTTTAAGGTCCCTTCAGCCCAAACCAGGCTGGGGTTCTGTGATGTGAAGCACTGTATGGCTGTATTTATATTAGGACAGGTTTTTTGCATCGTTCTATATTAGTCTGCTCTTTATATACTGAATATAGCCCAAAATAAGCTCTTCTTAAATGAGTGTCAGCACATTGTACCAAGTTGAATATACAGAGAGGGCATAAGGCACAATCCTCTCCATTTAAATGATTTTTCATTAAAAAGTTATATTGGTATGAGGGTGCCTTAGTCACTGCAGGTTGTTTTGCTTCCAGTGCCAGAATAAACTACACAAGTGTGTCCACAGAGGACAGGAGGTTTTGGCAGCTCCAGCTATACCAACACAGGCCACATTTCACAGTGTTGACAAGTGTTTTACAGCCACTTTGGAGGGTGATTTCAGTGGCACTGTAACCTCCACACTCGCTCTGTTTCGCAGAGCAGCAGCAGCAGCAGCACTAAAGCTTCTCACAGCTTTTTTCCAGGCAGGGTCAGAGCAAGCCGAACAAAGCCAGGATTTACATCTTTGGTACATCCAATTGCCCAACTTGTATCCATTTCATGCAGCTGTTGCTGTTGAGTAAACTGTGGGCAGCAGCTAGAGGTTGACTCAGGAGTTAGCACATGTCAGAGGGCTGTGTTGGCTAGAAGAGGATAACAAAGGGATAGAGAAGCCGCTTGGTGGTAGACTGAAACACTCTGACGTGGGGAGAAGGTGCCTTTTGCCTGCCAAAAGCTGGGGGGGGACTTGTTTGAAGGAGGCTGACAACAAAGCCTAAATCTGCCCCCCAGTGAGCTGACACACTGCAGATACCTTCAGCAGCCTCTGCTCGTGCTCAGCAGGCTCCTGTTCACCCCCTTTAGCCCTTAAAACTGCTTTCAAATTGGTGCGGCTGGCCCGAGCAGCAGGTTTGGTGCAGTGCAATATATGATCTTTCCAGCCTCCAGTTGCTCTGAGACTGCTAAATACTGGGAAATTTGAGTTCCCTGCAGCTCCTGGGCTGCAATCCTGCCTGCTCCAGCAGTTAACACCTTAGAGCTGATCCCTTGTTTGGTGTTTTATCCTCACACAGCTGCCAGCCGCAGCTCTCTGGAGCAAGGTGGAATACCGAGTCATGGTATCCTGCTCTGTTTGCATTTCTGTGCCTTGCTTACTGAAGGAGTTACGAGGCTGAGCCCTTGTTTGAAGAATGTCATTTATTATTTAGCCTTGGCAGCCAAGCACTGTTTCACTTGAGCCCTTCTTAACCTCTGAAGGTCACTTGGCCTTGTGCCTGGCCAACAGTCATAACTCTTAACACTGACCTAATCGCCTGGGACAGCCACGGATCCAGAATTCCTGTTACAACAACGGGATGAATGCAGGGCTGCAGCCAGTGGAGCTGGGAGCAGAAGCCAAGCAGGCACCCTGACCTCCCATCCAGCCTCATCAGGGCTGTGCTTAAGCAATAGGTCAGATGAGGAGCTTCTTCCCCCCCATTCTTAGCTCTGCCCCACACTTGAGGACCTCCGTGGCAGCGTTTCTCACTTGGATTCGGAACACGATTCCTTAGAGCCACTGTGCTGCATGGTGCAAGGTGCTGCTCCTTCCCCTCTTGCCCTGCACTGGTTTTGCTTCCCTATCAGGGCTCTGTCCCTCTGCAGCCCCACAGAAGAGTAACCCTGGCTTTCCCCTTTGTGAGTCCCACTAAGGCTCTGTTTGATGTTGCTGGTAGAGGCTCTAGAACTGGTTTTACTCTTTATGAAGGTGGCCTTGACTATTTCACCCACTTTTGGCATTAGAATTATTCTAGTCTCTGTCCTTGAACCCAGAGGAGAGCACAGATGATGGCAAATGAGAGAATGGGCTTAGCTGTGGGGTGGTTTGGTTGCCAACAACAGGCTGAGGTGTCTCTTAATGATCTTTTTAGGATGGGTGATACTATTATTACACTTAATTCTTGGATTAAGGTAGTTCCAAGCTAATAGCATGGATTGTCTGGCATGTGTAGCACCATCAGTAACTGTTAGAGTGATGGGGGAGAGGTAGAGAAACTGAGGTCAGCCAGTGATTTGGGAATACGTAGCCTTAAACCCTGACTCCTTCAATCTCTAAACAAATTCCAGTCCTTCTTTTTTAATGAGCAAGTGAAATATATGGCTAAAACTGCTGGTTTCTGGGCCTGTTTTTAAAGTGGAACTGATTTTTGACTTACCAAAATCCCAAATGCACTTCTCCCATCCTATCCCACCCTCCTTCCTTTGGGAGCTGCAGCACATGGCACTGGGTGAGCTGGCTGGCTGGGTGCTGACCACTCCAGACAACTTGTCCTGACTTGAATTAAACAAACCTGAGTGAGAACCTGTAAACCTTGATCTAAATACAGGTTACAAGCAATTGCTTAGAGTTAAATGATACTAGTTAAGACAGCGGGGTAGCATTAGCCTTGTGTGCTATCAAGATGTTCATCTTCTTAGCAGGTATCCCACCATCTCCCACACCTGAGGAAGAGAAAGCTCCATCTCCTGTACCTGCCCTGAAAACTGAACTGGAGCCTGCATCCACAGAGGTAAGAGCAGTGATGAACTTCTGGTTTTATCTGACTCGATGGGCATTGCCCAGCCTCTTTTCAGAAGCTGAGGAGGAAGTCCTGTTTCCCTGTCAAGTCCATCACATCATCCTGCTTGAAAGAATCCCTAGTTCCCTCATTTTCTCACTGTTATTTAAACTGGCTTTTCTGCTGTCATAGGCAGCTTTCTGTTTTCTTCTCTTTTCCCTTCCTCACAGTTCTATGAGTTGTGGCTCATATTTCAGCACTTTTCCCTCTGAATCTTGGCCTTGGGAGCCAGGGCAGGGCCAGAAATGAAACCAGAGACTCCTGGTATCCAACCTTGTATCACAGGAAAGCTGCTGCGTAAGGGGGTGGGCTGGAGCTGGCAAGAAGTTAACCTCTGAGCACAGAAAATACACGTAGGTTTACTGCAAGTGCCACTGTGTCACATCAGTTCTGGTGTCTTGCACAGCCTGTTACTTCCTCATTCCTCAGAGGTTTGATGGGACAACCCCAGTGCCACCTTCTCACATAACTAAACAGGTTACAAACTGTCACATGGCTCAGAAAGGGGATGTCCCCCTGTGCTGGTAGACAGGAAAGCTTGAGGTCTCATTTCACTTGTTTTTTCTCTCTGAAACTTGTCCTGGTGGGATGGAGGGAATTGTGGTGTCATCAAAAGTGAGACTGGGATATCCAGGGAAGAGACAGGATTAATTATCAAATCATGGTCAGCATCATTAGCGAGACTACATTTCACTCCCAGGGCTGATGTTTTCATGATCTGTGCACGGGGCCTTAACTCTTGATTTCTCACAAGACTTCGCTGTCCCTCAGGTTCCAGCTGGAGGGAGGAAGAGGAAACGGAAGCGTGTGCTGAAATCCAAGATGTTCATTGATGATGAAGAAGGCTGCATGGGTAAGATGTCTCCTACACCTCACTGGAACTATATTGAAGATGTCTTGAAGATGTTTACAGGCCACCCTCTCCCAGGTTGAGAAAGAGGTTCACAAAATCACTTTGTTATTCCATTTCAGCCTCATGCTGCAAGATTGAAGTAACTGCCCTTTTGGTGAAGGCCTCCATAGGAACTTATGGAGTTGTAGCTGAATCCTGACTATTGATTATCAAAAGGAGCGTGAGCAGCAGGTCAGGGAGGGGATCCTGCCCCTCTGCTGTGCTCTGGGGAGACCCCCCTGCAGCCCTGATCCAGCTCTGGGGAACAGCACAGGAGGGACGTGGAGCTGCTGAAGGGAGGCCAGAGGAGGCCCCGGAGCTGCTGCGAGGGCTGGAGCAGCTCTGCTCTGGAGCCAGGCTGAGAGAGCTGGGCTGGGGCAGCTGGAGAAGAGAAGGCTCCTCAAGGGGACACCTTAGAGCAGCTCCAGGGCCTAAAGGGGCTCCAGGAAACCTGGAGAGGGGCTTTGGACAAGGGATGTAGGGACAGGCCAAGGGGAATGGCTTGAACCTGCCAGAGGGGAGACTGAGGTGAGCTCTTGGGCAGAAGCTCTTCCCTGGGAGGGTGCTGAGGCGCTGGCACAGGGTGCCCAGAGGAGCTGTGGCTGCCCCATCCCTGGCAGTGTTCAAGGGCAGGTTGGACACAGGGGCTTGGAGCAACCTGCTCTAGTGGAAGGTGTCCCTGCCCGGGGCAGGGGTTGGAGCTGGATGAACTTTGAGCTCCCTTCCAACTGAAACCAGTCCATGTTTCACAGTTTTTCTTTCAGTTCTTCTCCCTTCCCTCCTGCCACTATGAACATTTCTGTCACTTGCTCTACTCTCCAAAGCTACAAGCTTTTAAAGGTGGTACGGAAAGAGATCCAGGATAGATTTTGGCTGGGATCAGTTTGGTTTGATGGTTTTGGATATTGTTGGGGCAGTGGGGTGGGGCTTTTTTGTTCTTTTGGGGATAAACCCAAAGCCATGCAGCAGACCTTGATTCTATGTTAGTATAAACTTCAAGTATCCCAGATAAGGAATAAGTTGGGGCTTAAATCCTTGAGAGGGTTTCTGTTTCTGATAAGGACAGCTCTGCTTGCAGGAGGGAAGAGACTCTCTACACAAGGACTGAGAGCGAGAGGCTTTGAATTCCAGCCTGACTGGACCCTGCTTCCTCTTGTGAGCTGGGGAAAGCTGTGCAACACCCCTGTGCTTTCCTCCCCTGTGTCCTGACATTGAAGTGGACCTGCAGGTGTTCAGAATCGCTTTTTTAAAGGCTTAAAAAACTTGAAGAGGGTGGAATGTATTTTTGTCAGCTTAATTGTATGGGATGCTTCACGTTCTCCAGCCTTGCTGATGTCAGGAGAGCTCAGCCAGTCCTAGGAGAAGATCTGTTGCTGTTACATGGGTTTGTCATTGTGCATGAGCACAGATAGACACAGACTTGCTTGGCCCAGGTTTGGAGCTGCCTGGATGTGAGTCAGCTTGTGTCTGTTTCACCTATCTGTGTAGTTGTATCTTCTGTTTCCTATTAACTTTGTGTGTCTCCTTTGAAGAAGCACTGTGTTGGTAAGTGAAATCTCAAATCCTGGAGCTGTGTCCAAGAATGGGCCTTGCACAAAGCTATTGAGTGCTTTGGCTGGTTGTGTTATGGGGTGTTTTGCTCTCCCATCCCAGATAGAACTATTAAAACACTTGGAAGGAAAATAGAAAGCATTAGATGAAGAGTGGAGTTGAATGAGGTCTGCATCCAGAGCTTGCAGGAATGACTGTTCCGGGTTCCGCTTCCAGCAAGGAGTGCTCTTCTCTTTCTTTTCAGCCGTTTCCAGTGCTGGGAATAGCGCCTGCCTTTCCTTTCTCCTCATTCCCAAGTTGTTTAACGGTCTCTTGTGAATTCCAGAACTTTCATTTTACAGTCCTCTCCACTGCCATTATCTGAGAAGGGAAATGCAAGCCTCTGTTGTGCCTTTGGGAGACAGATCCTCTGGGATGGAGCTGGGATACTAAGGAACAGGGAGGAGTGACTGCTTTCCCTATTAAACCCTACCAGTCTCTTGCACAGGAGTTGCCATCTGGTTATTGTCCAGTTTTTGTCCTCCCCTCCCTTTCCCACCCTTTCCATGCTCAGGTCTAATCACTAGAAGGGTAAGTAACTTGCAAATCTCCCAGGTTAAAGTAAATTGTTGTTATTCTTTGAAATATAGGGGCCTTTTTCCCCCTCTCCCTCATGTCCTTTTACTCAAGGACCAGGTTTTAAGAGGTGTTAAATCCTAACATTAGGATTAGGCTGTACTTTAAATTTCTCCATGATTTTAAGAGATTATTTTCACAATAGCTGCAATAGCAAAGAATTGGTGTCAAAAAGCAAAACTAGGTTAGGGATTAGTCCTGAGGGAAATTGAGCAATTAAAGTATCTGTGGGGTTACGCACATGGTTTGTTACCATGCATCAGCTGGAACTCAGTTGCGTGCCTGCCCTTAGTCTAGAGCAAAGGGGAGTTGCTGAGGGTTAAACTGGTGCGTTTCTACCTTGCACTTCCTGGGGCTTGAAAGGATGCACATAGAGCCCCAGAGTGGTTTGTGTTGGAAGGGACCTTAAAGCTCCTCCAGCCCCAACCCCTGCCACAGGCAGGGGACCCTTCCCCTAGAGCATGGTGCGCCAAGACC